TATAAATCAAAACTCTAAAATCTAACATTTAACCCTTAAATCTAAACCCTAAACCCCAAAATCTAAACCCTAATCTAGAATTATTGAACCCAAACATATATATTAAATTTAGAGAAAAATGTATTTTTGAAAATTTTCATACTATAGGTGTAGTTTTGAAAATTTGCACCTCAAGAGTCAAGAGGTGTATTTCATAAAATTTATCTAATTAACTAGGTGTTTTACCCGCGCATGCGCGGGTTCCGTTTTAATATTTGTAAATAAATCTTATGTCCTCTTTATTTTAATTTTATTCAATAATATTAAGAAAATGTATGATTCAATTAAGAATATTTGTATATCAAGTTCGAGTCATCAATTTTTTTTGTTTCTTTGATAAGAGATGAAAATAATAGTTTCATTTATTAAAAAAAGGTTTTTAAAATGCTTCACTATTTTTCAATTTTTGTTTATAATTTTTTTTAATAAACTTTTTTTTGTAATATACTTTTAATTTTTTTTACCTAACCAATTTAATTATTTTTATAAGTAGTCATAATAAGTAAGATACCTTTTAAAAATCTTTTTTGTCATAAAAACATACAACAACCCAATCCTCAAATTTCTTAAACTAATCCCTTAATTTTACTATTCATTAGACAATTTTTTTTATATCCAATAAAGGTTATCTGGCAAACTTATCCAATATTAGTCTAATACATATTTTAGTTCTTAATTTATTTTTTAATTTTATTTATTTGTTTAGCTTTTCCAGCTATGAATTTATGATTTATACTTAATTTTTTTTGTAATTTTAATTATGTTGCATTTAATTCCATTCAATAAATTCATCTCTTTATTTTTAAATCACTGTTTTTATATTTAAAAGTCTTATATCTAGAAAATAAAATAAAATATAAATGTATTTTACAGATCATTAAGGACGGGAAGAAAGGAATCAGAAAGATCAGGAGTAAAAAATAATTTTTTTTAATTGTTTCATATGATATAATCGTGTTAAATGTATTCCCACTTTTTCCATATCATATGGCTTCTTCTTCTTCCCGTGGTCATCATCTTTTAATTGTTTTTCCAATTCCCGGTTAAATTCTTTTGGTTTGTTACGGTTCGATTTTCCTATCTCATAGAAATTAGAAATGCTTCGTTTCTTTTTCTTTCATTTGCCGACCACAATCGAACAATATTTCTTCTTCCTTATTCCCACCGGAACCATCTCATCATCTAGATCCCTCTTCTTTGTTGCTAATCTTGTTATTACCAGGGGAGAGCTCACGCTTCTTCTTCTTTTCGATCTCCTTCGACTCTCGCTCTGAATTTCTCAATTAACTTAGGTACCAATCTCGAATTTCCCCTTTATCGCCGATTGATGGTTTGATTTTTTGGTCAAATGATTTTCGATAACGTCACCGAGTTAAATTTTGGGTTTTCTCGGTGTTTGCTAGTTTTGTTGATGTTTAATCAGTCTATGTTTGTTTCGGTTCGGTTTAGCTATCAATTTGATATTTGAAATATCTCGTTGGTTTTGTTTTCAGTTCATATGGAGCACAACTTTTCTTCAATGGCTTTAGTCAACGACTTCGTTTTAAAGTCATCGAAATCACTGTTCTTGGCATCTCATCATCCCCTTCCCTGAGTTTCGATGCTTCTTTCTTCTCCTGATTCTCAGCTAATGGCTTCGATGAAGGTTAGATTTTCCGTATTTTCAATCTTTTTTTGCTGATGTCCAAATGGTGTATTTTGTTTGTAATCTAATTGTCCGGATGCGAATTGGTGATAAATGTATAACTCTAGGTGGTGGCAATTGCTTTGGCAAGTTCCTGAGACTTATAGCTGTCGAGTTTTAGAGCGTTTTCTCCTTTCACTGGTCGTTTTTAATAATATTTGAAATCTCTTCTCATTGACTTTACCCCTTTTTTGTTTGGTTTTCTTGTTTTTACAGAGATCAAACGTCCTTAGCCTTCAGGTTCAATTTTTTTCTTTAAAATCCTTTGATTAAGTACCTTCTGATCCATGAGAAGGAGTTCTACACCCATGAGTAATCCGCCTTTTCTAACGTTTCGTGCCTCCCAAAAGTGGATGACTCTGACAAGCAAATCATTATTGTTGAAACCTTTTTTTAGATCAGCGAAAACCAAAGTATGGCTTAACTGATTAGAAACAGAAGAGCATGAATTTGCCATGGCTTATAAAAATCGATTGAGAGATGTGAATGTATATTCTGAACTTGGTTTCATGTGGCAATAAGACCACATATATATAGGATTTAAGATCATCTTATTCCTAATGGAAAAAGGAATCAATGTATATCAATGTCATTGTACAATAAGGAAATTAGAGAAGTGATAATTACAAAAATAGGAACTATCCAAATCCTAATCTTTATCAAACAATATCCAATTTGTTTTTCAAGAATCTTCTAGACTAAAACGAAATAATGAAACCAAGAAATAAATTTGGAAGAAGAAATAAGAAAAAAATGCCAAGAAGCAATCTTAAATTCGCCAGAAATTAAAGCAGCCGAATTGTACAGTCAAATCACAAGACTTATCTTAGTAATAGATTCCGAATTTCTCCATTTTTGGTCTAATACTCCCTCAACTGAAGTTGTACTGAAGCTTCAAACTTGCAACAATGCGAAATAGGGAGTTTAGGGCAAAATAAATCCAATTCGATTTACGAAATCTGGGAAATGAAGAATGGATTTTTGTTGTTTGACGGTGGAGAGAGAGAGAGAGTTTTGTGAGATGCAGTTTTAGGGTTTGTAGAAAAAAGGGGAAGAAGATGTAGCAGATCCCGTTTTGGAGATGCCGATGTCTGATTTTTTTTTTTTTTGTGGTAACCTAATGGCAATGTCCATATAATTATTTTTGAAACGGTTTAAAAAAAAACAGGGGACTGCAAAGGATCGAACTCGATACCTGTTGCGTTTAGGACAATTGTGATAACCGCTACACCATAGCATCTTTTTGGCTGAATAGGAAATTTATTTCTATAATTACTTAAAACATGTGTAAATTTTCCACTAAAAAAGAAACTAATCTTATATATAATTAGGGATTGCTCTCTCCTCTTAGAGTTACATCAGCAAAAAAAAAATACATGTTAATTAAATTAAAATTAATAATTCAATTAATACATACATTCATAATATCATTGAATGATTTATTATTTAACCAAAAATATAAATATGTATTAAAAAAAGAAATGATTAATAAAAATATGAAAGACAAAAATAAATAAAAATTGGTTGAACTTAATATTTAAAAGATTAAAAGTTAATTTTTAACAGTAGATGCAAAATATTTATTATTGAATGATTTATTATTCAACCAAAAATATAAAAATGTATTAAAAAAATGATTAATAAAATATGAAAGACAAAAATAAATAAAAATTGGTTGAACTTAATATTTAAAAGATTAAAAGTTAATTTTTAACAGTAGATGCAAAAGATTTGTTTTTAAAAGAAAAAAAAAGGAAATGATTAATAAAAATATAAAAGACAAAAATAAATAAAAAAATTAGTTGAATTTAATATTTAAAATATTAAAAGTTAATTTTTAACAGTAGATGCAAGAGATTTGTTTTTAAAAGAAAAAAATGTACTGAAAATTTAAAATGTCTAAAATTCATAATAATATATATTATGTAAAAAGATAGTGTATGTAATAAAATTTCATGGAAAATGTTTAACTGTTGAAAGCTAACAGTTAAATTTAAGTAATAAAAATAAGTTATATATAAAACTAAATTATTGATTTTGATGTTAAAAAAAACTAAAGTATTGTCTATTTCTAACATTTAAAACAATCACTTAAAAAAATTGTTTGTATAAATATTTAATAAATAAACATCAATATTATATATATAACAACACATAAAGGAAAAACATGAAGAGTATAGTTTGTAAAGTATATAAATGATTATGAATAACCAAAAATATATACAAACAACCCCGCGCTTGCGCGGGGGTACAATTCCTAGTACTAATAATATGTGTAAATTTAGATAATCTATGAATAGGAAACTTATAATTCAGTTCTCGAAATTTGTAAAATCAGAGAAATTATCTTTACATGAAAACTAATTAATAAATAATATGTAAAATAGAAAATTTACATAAATTAATATAAAAGCAAAAAAAATAAAATAATGACATGGACCAATCAAATTCAACCTTTTAAATCCTAGGTGGACAGACTCTAATGCATATAGGCTCAACTATTATTAGTAATAGATACTCCCTCCGTTTCATAATAAGTGTCGTTTTGACTCTTGATCTACCCAATGTATCTAGATGTATATGTACTCCCTCTGTCCCATATTATAAGCTGTTTTGGCATAGATACATCCAGAAAATTGCAGATACATATAATGCCAAAACAGCTTATAATATGGGATAGAGGGAGTATGTATTAAGACTTAAAACACATTAATATACATCAATATATAGTCTAAATTCATTTTATCAAAACGACACTTATTATGAAACGGAGGGAATATAACATCAACTATTCCTTCCTTTTCACAATAAGTGTCATTTAAGCAAAATGAGAATTCAATGTATCTAGATGTATTAAACTCAAATAAAACTTATTATTGTTCAGTTATATCCAGTTATTGTCCAGATACATTTTCTCTAAATGACAATTATTATGAAACGAAGGAAGTACTATATGATATAAAACCCTCAGCTAATAATTTAATATAGATGCATACTAATATATAGTTAACTACTACAACAAATGACAAATCACATAAACAAGGATTGTATTTGTATAATTAAAAACAAAAAGAATCGAATGGTCACCCTAAGATCTCTCCTTACCTAAATAATCTTTAGACAGCTCAAAGGCAAACAAAAACAAGGTTTTCAAACTTAGGTTTTGTCTATTCTTAGGTGGGTTTTTGTCCTCTCCCTTCTGTTCATTCGTTTTTTCGAAATCGAAAAAAGGTAAAATTGCTCTTGAAGAATTGATCTATAGGGCGTGTTGGCTGCAATGCTAACTTGGGAGCACCCAGTTAGGCTTGCAAGCAACACCGCCTTGACGAAAAAGCTAGCCTTGATTACACTACTCACCATTGTGTTATGTCCGGTCACAACCGTCTTGTCTCAGCAGCAGCAGGAGGAGGTTGTGCCAGGTTCAGACGCAGATTGTCTCTTGAGATTCAAAGACACTTTAGCAAATGCTTCTGTCATCAGCAGTTGGGATCCATCAACCGCACCTTGTAAGCGAAACGTCGCGGATTGGTTCGGTATTCTCTGCATTACCGGCAATGTTTGGGGTTTACAACTCGAAGGAATGGGGTTAACCGGGAAGCTAGACCTTGAACCGTTGGCTCCAATCAAGAATCTACGAACCCTAAGCTTCATGAACAACCATTTCAACGGTCCAATGCCATCTGTCAAGAACCTCGGTTCGTTGAAGTCATTGTACTTGTCTAACAACCGGTTTACAGGGGAGATACCCGCCGATGCGTTCGATGGCATGCATCATCTGAAGAAGCTTATACTGGCGAACAACGCGTTTCGTGGCAAGATTCCTTCTTCTTTAGCTTCTTTGCCAATGCTTATAGAGGTGAGGCTAAATGGGAATCAGTTTCAAGGAGAAATACCAGATTTTAAGCAGAAAGATCTTAAGTTAGCTAGCTTCGAAAACAATGACCTCGAGGGACCAATACCCGAAAGCCTACGAAATATGGATCCTGGCTCCTTTGCTGGTAAGTAAACAAACTTTTCAAGATTCTACAAAAGGTTTGGTAACTAGAAGCAGAGTTCTTGAATTTGAGAAAAAAACAGAATTGTTCTTGTTTTCTTGAACTTTTCAGGAAACAAGAACTTGTGTGGTCCTCCATTAAGGTCATGCTCGGCTATTTCACTGTCTTCTCCGGATCCACCTCCTAGTCCAACGGAGAAGAACAAGAAAGAACCTTTCTTCACGATTGCAATTGTTCTGATTGTCATTGGAATAACACTAATGATCATTTCCCTTGTGGTTTGTATCCTTCACACCAGAAGAGGGAAGCGCTTGTCGGCTTATCCATCCGCGGGACAAGACAGGACAGAGAAATACAGTTACGATCAATCCGAAGAGATGGAGAAAACTTCGGAGACTGTTACGAGTTACACTAGTAAGAGAGATGCAGTACCGGAACAGGGCAAACTCTTGTTTCTCCGAGATGACATTGAAAGATTCGACCTTCAAGATCTTCTTAGAGCTTCTGCTGAAGTTCTTGGGAGTGGAAGCTTTGGTGCTTCTTACAAAGCCGGGATCAATAGCGAACAGACTATGGTCGTGAAGAGGTATAAACACATGAACAACGTCGGAAGAGACGAGTTTCATGAGCACATGAGTCGGTTAGGGAGATTGAACCATCCGAATCTGTTGCCTATTGTGGCTTACTATTACCGTAAAGAAGAGAAGCTCTTGGTCGCTGAGTTCATGCCAAATCGTAGCTTGGCAAGCCATCTTCACGGTATGCAAGATTCAATCTTATTTGTGGATAAAACCTGTTACTTTAAAGGTTTTGAGTTGAAAGAAATGCTCTGTTTTTTCCAGCGAATCGTTCCGTGGATCAACCTGGATTGGATTGGCCAACAAGAGTGAAGATTATACAAGGAGTGGCTAAGGGTTTAGGTTACTTGTTCAAGGAGCTACCGACACTGACGATCCCTCACGGTCATCTAAAGTCATCGAACGTCGTACTTGACGAATCATTCGAGCCTTTCTTAACTGACTACGCGCTAAGACCGGTGATGAACTCAGAGCAATCTCACAACCTAATGATATCTTATAAATCGCCAGAGTATAGCATAAAGGGACATATAACGAAGAAGACTGATGTTTGGTGCCTCGGGGTTTTGATCTTGGAGCTTTTGACGGGAAGGTTCCCGGAGAATTATCTGAGACAAGGGTACGATGCTAACATGAGCCTAGTGACTTGGGTGAGCGACATGGTGAAGGAGAAGAAAACGGGTGACGTGTTTGACAAGGAAATGACGGAGAAGAAGAAGTGTAAAGCAGAGATGCTAGGGCTTTTGAAGATCGGATTGAGTTGTTGTGAAGAAGATGAAGAAAGGAGGATGGAGATGAGAGATGCTGTTGAGAAGATAGAGAGCTTAAGAGAAGGACAAAAGCTGGATAAAGATGCATCAGCTTCCACGGACAATGTCTTTGCTTCTCGGTTAACAGACGACGATGACTTTGGTTTTGCTATGAATCGTTGATGAGTTGATTGAAAAACGTTTAAAAAAAAAAAAAAAAAACAATTTGTAATCTTGATACAAGAAAGAGATGAATCTCCATCGTCAGGTTCAACGAGAAAGAAAATGTGTTAAGTGCCAAACAAATCCATGAGATATAAATGATTGATTAATATTCATGAATTACCCTAAAACATTATTTTTGTTCTTTGTTATGTAACTTTTCCAGCCTTTTCAATCACTCTCTTCGTGTAAGTGTAAAATCCAGTTTACAGAGTTTTTGAAAGTTTACTGTTTGATTATCCCCAAAAGGAACCTAATTTAGAATGTAATGTAAGATTTGAAATCAGGTTCACCTGAGCTGAAATTATTCCCAAAATGATTGAAACCATGCGTACTAGTGTCACTTGAGCTGAGGATAACAAAGTTTTACTTTTCACTCGAAAAATGTAAAAAAGATTTGAAATTTAGGGCTAAATTGAATTTTGGGGATTAACCCAATTAGTATCTCAAATAATCCGCGACTACTTCGAAGAAGACAGAGATGGTGATGAGAGAGAAAGAGAGAAGGAGCGGTAAAAATGATGGGTTAATTTGCCAGATGGCCATATTGGGCCTCATAATTAAGAAAATAGCCATCCAATTTGAGTAACAAAGAAACTAACATTCAGCCACCAATTTGGACGAGTTTGTCCTCCAACTAGCACGAAATTATTCCCTGAAATAGATTCTAGATTAGGAAAAGATAAACCCAAGTATAATTTTTTTTTCTAAACCAAAAGATATAAACCTAAACCCCAAAATCTAAATCCTAAACCCAAAAATCTAAACCCTAAATCCCAAAATTAAACCATAAATCTTAAATACTAAACCCTAAACTCTAAATGCTAAACCCAAACCCAAATATTTACCTTCAAAACTAAATGTTAAAACCTAATACATAACCCTAAACCCTGAATTTTAAATATTAAAATTATAAACCTTTAAAAGAATTTACCATATGCATATGAACGTGTATAGACGAATTTCTTCAATTTTTTACCTATGAACTTATAATGGAAAATGAGTTTCGTATAGGTTGGGGGGTATTTTGGCATTTATACATAAAATACACTATGTATTGTAGCCATTAGATGGAAATGGTTAGATTGTGAATTATAAAGTTTTTGTTTGTCATTTTTGCCAATTTCCCAAAAATGATCCGTTGTCCTTCTTCAGTCCACCACTGAATCCCCAATTTTCTAATTTGAGGGCGAAAGATTCTAAAAAAAAAACCCAAATTTAGGAACACCGCAGATTTCTTTAGTATTGAGAATGAAACCCTCCAAGAAGATAGAGGCAAAGATTGTATCAGAGCCTGTGAATCGAGATTTCGATTTCGTCATTTGCGGGGATTTTGTAATCATCGATGAAGTCTCAAAAGGGAAACGCGAAGAAGAAAAACGGGAATTCAGGGTTAGTGGCTGTAGCAGTGGACAAAGATAAAGGAAGCCAACATGCTCTCAAATGGGCTGCTGATCATCTCGTCTCCAAAGGACAATCTATTATCCTCCTCCATGTTATCCTTGGCTCATCATCTGATTCAGGTCTCTCTCTCTCTCCCTTTATCTTCTTCTTGTTGCTGTTTCTCTCTGACTTTTCTTAGAGACTAAATTTTGTGGGTTTGTAGTTGAGGCTAATGCAGAGAAACACAAACAAGCTGAAAGCCTTTTCGTGACGTTCCATTGCTACTGCAGTCGAAAAGAGGTAAAAGTCCTGGCTTTGCTTTGTTTCATAACGATGTGGTCTTATGTATTCATGCTATCTCTGTTGTTGCTAGATACAATGCCTTGACGTCACGCTTGAGGATGACAACATTGTCAAGTCCCTCTCGGAGTATGTTTCCTCTGGCGTGATTGAGAATTTGGTTCTTGGTGCACCGTCCAGGCATGGATTCATGAGGAAATTCAAGATGTCTGATACACCAAGCAATGTATCAAAAGCAGTACCTGATTTCTGTACAGTTTACATCATTTCCAAAGGGAAGGTATCATCGGTGCGTCATGCCACACGATCCGCTCCTTATCGATCTCCTCTTATTGGTCAGATTGAGAACCACTCTGCAATCTCTAACTACGAAAAGTTCAGGAACACCATGAGTTTTAGAGGTATACTAGTTTCTTTTTGAGGCTTAACTTTAACCACATGAAAGCGCACGGATCTTGAAATTGTTCTGTTCGCTGCTACGTAACAGATAGGACTCCGGCAAGGCCTTCGCTTTCTAGCTCCATTGAAGATTATGCAAAGTAAAATGGTTCATGAGAATTTTTGTTTTTGCCATCCGGAGAAAAAAACTTATCATTGTTTCTTTTGCGGTAATAGGTCACCTATGGCGAGGGCATCAAATTATGAAAACTCATTCTATGATTTGTCAAACTCAGTGGGTGATTTGTCAGACTCGGAAAACGACATATCGTTTGTCTGCTCAGGCAGGCCAAGTACCGTGAGCTCAGGCAGGCGAAGCACCGCAAGCTCAGGGAGGCCAAGCACAAGCACTAACGGAAGGTCTGAAATGTCTTTTATGAGCTCAGGTAGGCCGAGTACAAGCACCAACGGAAGCCCTTCCTTCGTCTACGAGTTTCCTGAGTCTGGTTTAACCCCGAGAATGTCGACGGCCTCTGGACAAAGCGTTGGCTCCATGCGTCTAGGAATAAGGTTTAATGACACCAATATCCAACATGACTTCTCTTTCGTCTCACAAGATAGTGGTCGGTCCTCTTGTTCTTGTTCACCTCAAAACTTGGTAAGAAAGACGGGTTTGATTGGTTATAGACATTAGACAGCAACGTATGGTTTCGAGAATGCTTACTAACTATATATGTTTCCTTGAAATGTACAGGAAGAAGTGGAAGCTGAGATGCGGAAATTGAAACAGGAACTGAAGCACACAATGGACATGTATGGATCAGCTTGCAGAGAAGCACTGGCAGCAAAGCAAGAGGTAAAAACAATATTAAACAGAAACCCATCCCTGTAAATGTATTCTTGTCTAGTGTTGACTTAGAAAGAGATTTACCTTTTGGATCAAAAAGGCAAAGGAGCTCCAACGTCAGAAAATAGAAGAGGAAGGATGTGTGCAAGAAGAGAAGTTATCAGAGAATTCGACAAAGTCGATAGTGGAAAAAGAGAGAGCAAACAAAGCTGCCATGGATGCATCTCAAACAGCAAGCAAGATAGCTGAGCTCGAAACACAAAGAAGAGCCATAGAAGCTGGAGGTTCTTTCTCTGACTCCAGTTTAAGGTATCGGAGGTATGTTATTGGAGAGATTGAAGAAGCTACAAACTCATTCGACAAGGGTAATAAGATCGGTGAAGGCGGATATGGTCCTGTTTTTAAGGGTCAACTTGATCATACCCCTGTTGCTGTTAAGGTTTTGAGACCAGATGCAGCTCAAGGAAGATCTCAATTTCAGAGAGAGGTAAGCACATGTATATATTTCAAATCTAAGAAAGAATCAGACTTTGGTTTAGATGTGGACTGAGTATTGAGAATTGTTGCAGGTGGAAGTTCTTAGCTGCATAAGACATCCGCATATGGTGCTTCTCATTGGAGCATGTCCAGAGTATGGAGTCCTTGTTTATGAGTATATGGCTAAAGGGAGTTTAGCTGATAGGCTCTACAGGCACGGAAACTCACCACCGCTCTCTTGGGAGCTCAGGTTCCGAATCGCAGCCGAAGTTGCGACGGGTCTGCTCTTCCTTCATCAGACGAAACCAGAGCCTATAGTGCACCGTGATCTGAAACCAGGAAACATTTTGATTGACCAGAACTACGTAAGCAAAATAGGGGATGTTGGATTAGCCAGGCTAGTCCCTGCAGTTGCCGAAAACGTAACGCAGTGCCACGTAACGTCAACCGCTGGGACTTTCTGTTACATTGACCCTGAGTACCAACAAACCGGGATGCTTGGTGTGAAATCTGATGTCTACTCCTTTGGTATCTTGCTTCTCGAGCTGCTCACTGCGAAGAGACCGACGGGTTTGTCTTACACCGTTGAGCAAGCGATGGATCAAGGGACGTTCAAGGAGATGTTGGACCCAGCAGTGACTAATTGGCCGGTGGAAGAGGCTTTGTCTCTGGCAAAGATTGCACTAAAATGTGCACAGCTGAGAAGGAAAGACAGACCAGACCTGGGAAAAGAAGTTTTACCAGAGCTCAATAGACTTAGAGCTCTTGCGGATGCGAATATGGAGTGGATTCTGTTCAACCATAGCAGAGGCCCATCACCAAATCATAGCTTAGTCTCCTTGCCACCAGTTGTGAGTGTTGAAATGAAAATGCTCTTAGTAATTTATTCAACATTTTGGATTTTATCCACTTCTCATATCTTTATAATTGAAATGATGCCATTGCAGGATGAAATGAGCGTAACTTCCGATGGCTCGAATACACATTCAAGCACTTCATCAGACACGGATAATAACTCAGGTGCAGTAGACAATCCTATAATTTCCATCTAATGACTACTATTTTATAATCTTCTATCTATAACATTATAATATGTGTTATAATCTTCTTGTTATGTTTCAGACCAAAAGGAAGAGGATTAGCATTTTTGCCTGTTGAAGGAAAGATGCAGTGAGGCCATTTCTTGTATCTTTAGTTTGCTTTAAGCTATGTAATTATGAATACATGTAATGTACATACTGTGTAATCTTGTAAAGAAAACAAAAAACAATAGGGACAAAAAAAGGATTAGATTTGTAAAATTCATTTGCAAGACGCTATCTCTATTTTTGATATGTGAGACGAAATTTGGACCGCGCATTAATCCTAGTCTAATTCTATTAACTTCTAAAACGAGTTAAATTGTTAATTATTGTCTAACAGCTCATTGATCTTGGTTAGCTATAGCCTCAGTTTCAGCAGAACCTTGGTTTTATTTTTTCACTTTTAACTTAGAGTTCTTTCTTTATTTAGTTGAATTCTCAATTCATTTTCATACGCATCTTCTTCTCTTTGTTTTATACTAATGATTTTTGTTTTTTTTTTCAGTTTAATAATTACGATAACTTGTATTGTAGATATGTAAGCTAAATACATAAACTTTTAAAATGGAAAATATAGCAATCATCAGTTTTCTTACTTTTACAATATACATGCATGTACTAATTAATCAAGGGTAAACAACATAGTACATAATATATATATATATATATATATATATACATATTTTTTTTTTGTGTTTTTGACTTTCTCCTCTCATTAATTATTAATTGATGTGCATTAATTGAATAAGTAGACGTTTGGTCACAGGACAACTAAAAATAAGAAGCTAACAAACAAAACACTTTAACATTTCAAGGCAGTTAGTTCATAACTTCATATCATGGAAATTGCTTAGGTGTGACAACGTCATGCGTTACTTTTTTTGCTTCCACACACTCAAACTCTGAAACGCAAACCAGTGTTTCTGCCAAAGTCCATTTTGCTATATAAAGCTACTAAGCTGCTATGATATTTTTTCACTCAGATTCAACAAGAGAGCTAAAAAAAAAGTTCTCTAGAAGTATTCTTTCAAAAAATGTCTTCTCTTGGTTACTTTCAGATTCTTGTTTTTCTTTATGCTTTCCTTGTTTTCTCAGCTGAATCTCGCAAAACCCAACTGCAGAACAATAACTATGATACTGAATCTAGCGAGGATGGTGCAAAAGGCACACGATGGGCTGTTCTAATTGCTGGATCAAAAGAGTTTTATAACTACAGGCATCAGGTTTTATTAAATTGTTGAGTAAACTTGCACTTATAACAAGAAGGAAAAAAAAAGGTGGTCCTATAGATACTAAATCTACCGTTGGTTTTTGTTTTTAGGCTGACATATGCCATGCATATCAGATTTTGAGAAAAGGTGGTCTAAAAGATGAAAACATAATTGTGTTTATGTATGATGATATCGCGTTTAGCCCTGAGAATCCTAGGCCTGGAGTTATCATTAATAGACCCGATGGAGATGATGTTTATAACGGAGTTCTTAAGGTTCTTTTTTATTTCTTACTTTTTTTGTACATTTATTATAATATTTATGTTTAGTGTTAATAAAAAGGAAATATCTTTGAATTTTGTTGGTTTTGGTTGATAGGACTACACTGGGGAAGCTGTGAATGTGAAGAACTTCTTAAATGTGATACTTGGAAACGAGAGTGGCGTCACAGGAGGAAGTGGCAGAGTTTTGAAAAGTGGTCCTCATGATCATGTCTTCATCTACTATGCTGATCATGGAGCTCCTGGGTTACTAGGTTTTTTAATTATACCATCAATCCATATATCTAATAATTAAGATGTTTCTCGTGATATATACTAGCTAATCCGCGACTTCTTGGTGTTTATTATACTCAGGTATGCCTGATGATGAAGATATCCTCCTAGCAAAAGATTTCATTCAAGTCTTGGAGAAGATGCATCAGCACAAACGATACAAGAAGATGGTACTAATTAATAAATAACTCAAATATTGTCGTCATTTCTCTAGCTTTATATGTGTTCTGTTCTTGAATATTTGAGGTGCTTTTTTGTGATGATGTTAGGTGATTTATGTTGAAGCATGTGAAGCTGGAAGTATGTTTGAAGGGCTTTTAAAGAAGAATCTCAATATATTAGCAGTGACTGCTTCTAATGCGAACGAGAGCAGTTATGGAACTTACTGTGGTGTTACATATCCTCCTCCTCCTCCTGAGTATGATGGTAATTGTCTTGGCGACGCATTTAGCGTCTCTTGGCTTGAGGACAGGTACTGCAAAAAAAAAAAAAGATTCAATCTTTATGGATTATTTTGATTAATTGTTCTTCAAGACATTGAGAATCACTTTTCTTTTTTTCTTTAAATGTTTGGACAGTGACCTTCATGACATGAGCAAAGAGACTTTGAAGCAGCAATACCAAGTGGTAAGGAGAAGAATAGGATCTGATGCTGAATCAGAGATGAGGTCTCATGTATCTCGTTTCGGAACAGAGGAGCTTCTTAAAGACTATCTTGTCTCTTACATTGGAACCAACCCTGAAAACGAAAACTTCACTTCCAATGGATTCATTTCTTCACCAATGTTTAATTCAAGCTTGGTCAATACGCGTGACATCCCTCTGTTATATCTCAAGAAAAAGGTGAAGTCGATATTTTGTAGATTGAAAACTATAAACAAATCATGTGTTTTGTTTTTCATGTTTTCATAAATTTTTGTGTCTCAGATTGAAAAATCTCCAATGGACTCACCTCAAAGACAAGAAGCGCAGAAGAAGCTGCTTGACGAAATAAATCATAGGAAACAAATCGATGAGAGCATTACAGAGATTCTCCGACTTTCGATCAAACAAAACAATGTCTTAAATCTCTTAACTTCCACAAGATCGACAGGAAAAGCTCTTGTAGACGATTGGGATTGCTTCAAGACTATGGTAACAACCACATCTTAAATCTTGTTACTTGTGTTCTACGCAACATCCATTAAATTATTATCGAATGAAAATTGCAGATTACTAGCTTCCAGAAATACTGTGGAGCAAAGGTGGATTACGGATTGAAGTATACAAGAGCGCTTGCTAATATCTGCAATATGGGAGTGGATATGAAGCAAACTGTTTCAGCCATTGAACAAGCTTGTTCGATTAAATGATGGGTTTATGCAAAATAATATGTCATCGACTTAAAATATGAAAGTTATTTTAAATGATATGGTGTAGAGATGGTTGATGCCTATTTTTACATGAAAATATTTTAATCGATGATAACGCGAAAGTGTTGGTCTTAACTTGTGAATTGGATTCACCAAAGATTAACCTCGTACCAACTGTACGGTACGGACAAGAACTAAACTTTGGTTTGTGCCAATAATAGTCTTCTTTCCATAACTTGTTTACCAAGAGAACAAAAGACAAAAGGTATATACAGATCTTTAAAACGAATCAAGCAAGACAAAAAAATAAGAAACAAGAACAACTAGGGTTTCCTTCGCCTAGCTTGTTTTTTTATTTTTTTTTAAACTTCTATGAAGATAACAACTTTAAGAAGATATTCAAAGTTATCTAAGATCTATCAAATGCGATAGATTTATATATAAATGAATCTTTTTTGAACTTTTCTCTAGACACAATTGTTTTTTGCTATCTTTTTGAATCTGTTCTTGTGATCTATCATCCAACAAAAATGATCTCGCTAGGTTTCATCGTTCGTCTAGCCAACCAGGAGAACAGACGAAACAGAAGGTCCGAAACAAACATTAAAGATCGTCTTGTCTCAGGGGAACTATCAGACGGTGGCAGAGTGCGAGCCAGGGATCAATACGATGTCCCGAGAGGGCATCTTGCGGTCTACGTGGGCCGTGAAGAGATGCTGCAGAGGTTCGTGATACCAACCAAGTATCTTGAATATCCGGAGTTTAGGAGTTTGATGGATGAAGTAGCTGACGAGTTTGGGTATGAACATGAAGGAGGGATTCATATTCCTTGTGAGGGAAGTGTTTTTGAAGAGATTTTGATTAGATACATGTCATCTGACAAGAAGAAATAAGTGTGTACAAACAAACAAACATTGTAAATTATATAATAAGATCATATTAAAAGTTTCATATCCTTTCTCCTATTTTGCATAACTCAACCAAAGACAACAAAACCTAAACACAGGCCTTTCTTGGTGATGCAAATGGAGAGAATCAAGGTACAAAAACAATGCCGTGTTCCTTAATCGTATCGATCACAATCCCTAGCTTTCCTTCGATTCTTTCTCCCTTTCTTGGCTCATAAGACACGGCGTAGACGTCTGCTTCTTTTGAACGCTCAGCTATGAGCTTACCGATGAGTCTGCACGCTTCGTTGTCGACAAGAGACGGTATGTTTGTCCTTATATCTCTAGCGTTTGTGGTGGCAACCGAGATGACTTTGCTTGTTGGCCTATGCATCACTTTGGCGTGTATGAACTTCCTGGAGAAGAAGACATTGAGCAGGAAAGGTCTCATGTACATGTCTGTTCTCTGCTTCCATGACTTCCTGTTGGGTCTTTTCGCTGCTTCACCGCGTGATCTTCGAGTCCACGCAGCTTGCACGAAAGATTCCTAAAACAATCCATCAAAAACACTTTCTAAGAAAATTTGATTTGAAACTTCAAATAGCAAAAAAAAAAAAAAAGGAAACTTGAAGTAAAAAAAACTCTTCTTGATGAATTTCATAAGAAGAAAACGAAGACAAGAGGGTATTTTGAATCATTAGGTGTGATTAAGGAGAGTAAAAAATGAATCTTGAACATAAAGAAATAAGCTTTGAAGAGACTCAATCTCAAGCATCAATGGCAGATCAATATAAGTGTGGTTATGACAACAGAATTTTACACAAATCCAGAAAGTAACCACATTTTTATTCACACAAGGGCTTTCTAGTTTCACTAGAACCCTAGATTTCAATTTAAACCCACAAATTAGAATTGCATAAATTGATCAACGAACTCAACATACAAGAAGAACACAACACACACTAAGCTACAAAATCAGATGAGCATAAAACTACACGCCCTAGAGCTATTACGAAACTATATACACCCAGTGATTATGCACAGAACGAAATTAGACGGCTTTACCTTTTTGACAATGGGAGATGAGAGAACCGGGCCGATTCCGATGGAGAGTTTGGGAAATGAAGACTGCCATGAAAGTGAAGAGCCTAATTTGCTGGAACGATTAGACCGAGTCAGAGTCGAGTCGAAGGGGACGAGTGAGCAAGTTGATGAGACCAAGCAAGACATGTTCGTCGAGCTTGAGCTTCAATTGTGAGAGTGACAAAGTAAAATGATCGGATAAGGCTCGGCGGCTCGATTCACCGTGTTCAAGACCATGGACCGGACTGGTTGATTAAATCCCGATAAATACCGGTGGACCGGATCAAACCGTCACCCCCAAATATTGGTTAAGTCCTACAAACAGAAAAAAGATATTTGCGAGAAAATAAAGGGACAGAAATCGAGCGTTTTGATTCGACAAAGTGGGAGGTTTAAAACAAAACTAAAAAAAAAAGGGAGAAAAATATGGGAGAAAACCGAGCAACCGCATAAACCCTAAAGCTTAAATCTTAAATCTTCCCATAAATCTAACACTCCCACTTGTGCAGAATTTTCACCCATTCTATTTCGTCTCTATCTCTAAAAGTTTTGTTTTTTAATTATAATTATGCTTAATTGAATATTCTCTGTGCCCTTTTTGAATCTCCTGGTCCTGCCTCTGATAATATCTTTGAGAGAGATAATCAGAGACAGAGAGAAGTGGGTGTTGGGAGGAAATGGCAATGGTTCTTCCAAAAGAAGGGCTTCTGGTTATGGAGAAGGAATCTGCTTCATCGGATTCTCATCTTCGTCTCCAGCCTCAGTTTCCTGACTTCACGATTCCTGTAAAGGTGAGTTTTTTTTTTTTGTTTTTTCTCCTGGTCTAGTCTCTGCTTCGCTTATGGTTTTGACAATCTGTACTGTTTTCTGATTTGATGAAACCATTGAGGTATTTCTCTCTCTGTTGTGTTTTTGATTTCTATTGATTCAGGATTTCTTCAAGACTAGGGAAGCTCGTGAATTTCTTAGTGGGGCTTTAGCTGGAGCCATGACCAAAGCTGTTCTTGCTCCACTTGAGACAATAAGGTCTGTATAGCCCCTTGTTTTTAAATCTCCTCAATGATATCAATCCACTTTGATGTATCTAAGCATTGCATTTGTGCTGTGTGAAATCTCTGGCAGGACAAGAATGATTGTTGGTGTTGGATCAAAAAGCATTCCAGGTAGTTTCCTGGAAATCATACAGAAGCAAGGCTGGCAAGGTCTTTGGGCTGGAAACGAAATCAACATGATTCGAATCATTCCAACACAAGCAATTGAGCTGGGGACGTTTGAGTGGGTCAAACGTGCAATGACATCAGCGCAAGTGAAGCTGAAGAAGATTGAGGAGGCAAAGATTGAGATTGGTGATTTCAGTTTCAGTCCTTCCATATCTTGGATCTCTCCTGTTGCTGTTGCCGGTGCATCTGCTGGTATTGCCAGTACTCTTGTTTGTCATCCTCTCGAAGTCCTCAAGGATAGATTGACTGTGAGCCCTGAGATTTATCCAACATTAAGCCTTGCAATTCCGAGGATTTTCAGAGACGATGGAATCCGTGGATTCTATGCTGGTTTAGGACCAACACTGGTCGGGATGCTTCCATACAGCACATGTTATTACTTCATGTATGACAAGATGAAGACTACTTACTGCAAATCCAAGAACAAGAAGGCTTTAAACCGTCCAGAGATGCTTGTTCTTGGAGCTTTAGCTGGTAAATAGATAAATAAAAAGTTTCTTTTAAGGTGTTCTCCTGACTCTCAAATGATGTTTAGGGGCTCATTTGAGTTGTGAATGGTGTCAGGTCTAACGGCGAGTACCATAAGCTTCCCATTGGAAGTGGCGCGGAAGCGGTTGATGGTGGGATCTCTGAAGGGGCAATGCCCACCGAACATGGCTGCTGCAATAGCAGAAGTAGTGAAGGAAAGAGGAGTGATGGGACTCTACAGAGGATGGGGAGCAAGTTGTTTGAAAGTCATGCCGTCTTCAGGCATCACTTGGGTCTTTTATGAAGCTTGGAAAGATATTTTGCTCGCAGCGAACACCAAACCACTCATATAATGACGATTTCGAACTTAGATTACTATTGTTACGTGAAGCCAAGCCTCATCATCACATTTCGAAGCTATGATTTAGGGAATGTGGTGTGGCTTGGCTTTTGAGTTTTGCCACATGAGATGTTATTTAGGCACTTGGGAGTGTTTTGATTCCCATGAGAAGTAAGAAGCTGAGTTTTTTCTTATTGTTAGTGCTAGTGCTATTCGTTTTTGTCAGTAATGGTGAAATGAGGAAGAAGGAGAGCAAATCACTTGAATCACAAAACATGTCCACAATATATACACACATACATATACCATCACACTTCCATTCATAGATACAAGCACATATATACACATAATAAGCATTGATCAAATATATATTATTTTTACTAAGTCAAACATTGTCCAAATCTGCAACCCAAATGGAAATCTTCTGTCTAACCTTCAGTTCCTTCTTCAGAGACTTCACTCTCTGAAACAATGGCATCAGAACTTTTTGAGCACAAACTCATATTAAATGCCCAATGATTTGGTTTTAGAGGAAAAATACCTTCACCAAACAGTTGTTCGAAACGGGCTACTATGTGTTTCCCGTAAGTGTACTTGCGCAAACTCTGGAGATGGATTTTCATTCTCTGCACAAGAATCTCCCTTTGCTGATCTTTACTGATCTCCAAGACTTTCTGGACCACGTAATTTGCAAACTGATCCTTCATCATCGCCTGCAGAAAGAAAAAAAAGATAATTAAATCAAAGTCCAGTGTGTGGTTTCAGAGAGCTTTCTTTAGGATTGTGTTCTCACCAGCAAGTGATTGTCTTCCTCTGATTTGCCCATTATCTCTTCAATCAGAAATTCTCTCTCGGTACTATCAGCGTATTCCAGACACTTCTCCACAACGTTGGACGCGTATTTGTGCTGACTCATCTGAACAACATTCCCTGTCAACTTCTCAGTGATCTGTCTCCTTTCGTCAGGCTTCCCTCTCTCCAGGACATGCTACAAGCAAAACATAAGCCAAAAGCTCAAGACTAAGACCAAAATGGATTCAAGAAAATGTCAGGAGAGAACATTTGATCTCAGATTAACCAAACCTGAGTGACATAATTCCCATACTGATCATGAGCAAGAGCAAAAGCGGATTCCAAGATTTCATCAATTATGCAACGAGTCTCCTCGTCATCTGAGCAATGCTCCAAGATTCTCTATACCAAAAGCAGAAAGAAAAGAGTGAATATTTTCAAGCTCAAAGGACAAGAGAGACGCGGGAAAGCTTCACTCTGATATATTCACCTGGATAACTCGGCATCCATATGGATGAGTAGAAAGAGTGGCAACTTGACCACGAAAAGCTGCAATCACGAAACCGATCCTACCCGCAGGCATACTCTCGATACACTTTTGAATAACATGATTCCCGTTTTGATCTCTAACACACTTCATCACATTCCCATCGAGCTCACGAATTAGTTCGGTCTTTTGGTCTACATCTATCACTTCAAGGGCCTATAAATATCATCACCAAGAACATGTACATATAAACTTAACAGCCATTTACTTCAGATACTGACATTGATATGGGCAAAACTAATATTATTCATTTACCTTTTGTATCACACGACATCCATACATTTGCAAGCTTAGAGAAACCATCTGACCAGCAAGTTGCTTCACAAGTTCTTCCCTCTGCGCTTGAGTTCCATGTTCTATGAACTGATCCAAAAATCCACCATCTATCATCAACAAGCTTATAAACAAGAAAAAGCTTCCAACTCATAAGAAAAAGTAGCTCACTTTTTGGATAACATAATTTCCAAAGACGTCAGTCATCAATTTGGAAGCTTGTGGAAGAACTTCACTGAAAACAGATGCCTTCTCTTCATCAGAGCAGTGCTCCAACTTCTGTTGAATAAACCGGCTACCATGCTGATCAACGCTGAAATTAAGAAAAGTGAGTAGCAAAACAACATTTGCATGATATCTTGCGGTGCTCTTAAAACACTAATTCAGATTCAAAGAAAAGGAAAGATATCAGGAGATAAACACTACCTAAATTCTACAACACGCCCTGTGATATCAGAAAGCTCGAGTTTACGAGCGTTTGGAGACTTGAGTTCATCAAGAAAAGAATGCCTTTTCATATCATCAACGGCGCTGTTGGGTCCTCCCCTGTTCCCTTGCCATCCACCAGGGTAGATCCCCGTGTTTCTACTCGGTCCTTGCTGATGATACCTTGTTTCACTTCGTCTTCCAAAGTGGCTCATCATCCCACCAACCGGTGAGGATGGCATCACTGGACTAGCAAGAGGTGATCCGTGATACTGCGGCATGACTCTTACACCAGGCGGCATTGCAAAGTAGTTTCCCATGTGCCGAGGACTTTGCAACCCGAAACTCGGACTCAATGGATTACTGTGAGGGTCATGATTTGCCATAAAGCCAGCAGCTTGTTGTTCTTTCTGCCCAAAAGTATCAGTGCTGCTCTGAAACGAAGGAGCATACGCGGCTGCTTGAGTCTGTTGGTAATACTGCAAATGATAAGGATCCACAAGAGAAGGAACGTTTTGTCCAGTCGATGGTGCTCCAGGCATCATCCGAGCGTTGTTGTAGCCCGGAGAAGTAGATGAGATATCATATGGCATAGGAACAGCAGCTTCATGAGAAGGGTATCCACTCATATACTGAGGGAGAATACCAGAGGCAGGAGGAGGGTAACCGCTGTAATTATATTGCGGGAGGTACATACCGGAGGACTGAAAGTTATGATTGTAAAAAGGGCTCAGAGATGTCATATATGCTGCTGTTGATGTATACATAGGAGGCGGTTCCAAACCGTGAGGAGATTGGAAAGTCGAATGTACCTCGCCGGTTGCAATCTTCGGTAAGCTCTGCATCATGTCTTGTGTACCACTACTCATCCTCGGATAGTTCATTTGTTGTGGTGAAGTAGCTTGAACCTGATACGAAGAAGGTGTATATTGCAAAGGCATTCTCCTTCCCTGGTCCTCTTGGTTCCTCCTTATTCTAGAAGCAGTAGAGGATGGAGGAGAAGCACCAAAAACAGATAGATTGGTGTCCTCGTGGCTAGCTAGCCTCGCGTTTGACTGTGCATTAGTAGAGCTTTGTGAGCCTAAATCAGTGGTGAAAGGATCTTCACTAGCAATAGCATCCATGGAGAGAGAATCTGTCTCCCTCAGCAGGTTAACCGAACTTATATCAGACTCCTGTAGTCTTCTTGTCTCTTCTGAAGAGGAAATGGCTTCTCCTATTGGACGGTTCCCTGCGGAATGAGGCCGCTTGAACACAGAAGTAGGTGTAAGAACAAAACTTTACTCCAAGTGAAATGAAATTAAGCGCAGCTACAATATCAAAAGGTTGAATAGCCATGTACCTGAATCATATCAGCAAAGCTCTTACGACGACCAGCCAAAGAAGCATAAGGTTGTTGTTGTTCACCGGATGATGCCTCATCCTCAGGCTCCTCTCTATGCGTAGAAAGCGCAGTTCTTGAAGAATGCAAGGAGGATCTCATCCCCATACTATCCCAAGAGGCTGTTGAGCTCAGATTACCATCACCAATCCCACCCAAATGACGAACCAAGTGCTGATTCTCACGTGAGATCAAAGGAGGAGGGAGCCTCGGATTCAAGTTGATGTTGGAGAGATAGTAAGCTACATAAGCAGGGTCGCTACGTATCTCTTCTTCAGAGTCGTAATTCTCAATAGCCCTACTTAAAACCTCAGAGCTACTACCACCACCTTCCTGTTGTTTCAAGAGGTTCCTAAGAGCTGCAAATGAACCTTCCATGCTAGGCGGCGCGCTTCCGCTCCTACTCGGGATTTTCCCGGTGTGATCACCGCCGCCACTGCTATCCAACCTATTTCTTTTCATAAGGAACCCTAAATCCTCAACCGCCATATCTAGTGAACCAAATAGCCCTGTCTCCCTAGAAGCCTGCCAATTCTTTATATGATCACCTTCCACCATTCTCATAGCACTCTGCGTCGTCATACTTCTATATCAAAAAGAAAATCATATTTCAGGCCAAGGTGATTTCAAAATACCAAATTTCCAAGTGATTATGCAAAAGCTTGGAACTTTAAGATATGGTTCCCCAAATTTCGTTTAATCCAAGTTTCTCTGTGTGTCCTCAAGATGAAGAAAACAAGTAATCGAGCACATATGAATGAAATCAACCCATCAAAGATCGAAATTTCAGACACGATTTTCTCATTTCGTGAAGCTAAATTTCAGTCAACCCACATATCATCAGCAAAAACCAACAAGGATCATCAAAAGACGCCATCTTTTTAAAAGCAGACGAAACCGTTTTGACTCATTCAACAACATCGTTACAAACAGAAAATCGTATCCATAGGCTATAATCAAGGATCAAAATCGAAAAACACAGACTTGCTTTATCCTTTTATATCAAAAACTAGCTCCGTGCATGACTTGAAGAAGAAAAAAAGCAGATTAACGAGGCATATACAGAGAAGGAGAGCGAAAAGGTAGCAGAGCTATGTACCTGATGGTGATATTCAACTATTCAAGCCTCCATGAAAGTGTTGTTTTTCTCAAAAGAGCTCGAAATGAAATGTCGCAGAGAAGAGACCCAGAGAAAAAGAGAGACAGAGAAATTAAAACTAAACCCTTTGAAAAGTTTAACCCCAATGGCTTCGTTGAGTCACCAAGTCAAGGACTAATGTTTTTATTTTCCGGCAAACCCTTATCTTTAATTTAAGGACCCAAAACTGATTTTTTTAAACAGTTTTCGATATTAACAACATCACGACGGATTCGCGCACGAAGAAGTCCTTTAGCTTGCGTAATGACTATAGTAGCCCTGTCTGGTTCAGCAACTAGCAAGCCCTTTTTCGTTATTTCAGCTTTCCTCCGAATTGGTGACTAAGGTTTGCCACGTGTTGACACTTCTAATTGAAAGAGATACGTTCACGTGGCTCTGTCTCTGTTGCTCTGTTACTACCACCAAAAACACACACTTTAGTTTTTTTTTATCTCTAGAAACCCAAAACAGTATTCAGATTTATAATGCTCATTTAAAGTTCTTGACATTTTGTCATAAACGAAGTATGGAAAAGAAAGAAAAAGTCCTTTTAATGACACATCAAGACTTTGGCCCAAAACAATGAACGTGATAGAAGAAGAATAAGACTTTTCCATCATCGTCAAAGACTTAGTTTCCCGGCAACAAGACAACATTGGATTCTTTCTTATGTGCTAAATCCAACCAACAACAAAGAAAATGGTCCCTTAACAGTGTGAATCTATATAGACCAAAGCCAATCTTCCTGGAGTTGAACCTTAAGGCAAAGAGAATGTAGCCAATTGATCACACTATTTCTTCATTAAATGATATGCAAAACAACAAAAAAAAAACAGACTTTAAAGATTGGATTAAAAGGGAACAGATTAAATTATAATCATCATTGTATGTTCATAAATTTTATTATCAACAAGGGAAAAGAATTGGAGAAGGGTGTCTTTGAAGCATCCCAACAGAGAAGTCAAGCTTTTTCATCTTTTCTTCACACCATAGAAGCTGCTCTTTACTGATTCTCGCCATTCTCAGAACCCTTGATGCGAGTTTGATGTCAATGGCTGCAAACAATAGTTGAACACCTTCCCATGTTTGTGGCCAAGATTTCTTTCTCAAACCTTTTGTTTTCTTCGAAAGCTCCTTCGCTTTCACCCTCTTCTGCTTTCAGAGACTCAAATCATATAAGACACCAAAGAAAGAAGCATATACATTGCTTCTAGAGAGAAGAAACCGTACCTTTTCAATAGATGACTGAACCAGTTGCAAAGGAGTTGTAGAATGCATATGGCTGTTGTTGTGGTTCCCAAACAAGTGAATGACCCCAATTGGTTTCTTCTTATCCATTTTCAAGAAAACGTTGAATGTAAGGATCGAGCTCTCGATGATTTTGATGAGATCATCAGCGAGGACCATGAAGTCTGCATCTTTCTCCATCTCCTTTCTATCTGACCCTGAGAAGATGGTTGAACATAATTCAACTTAAAGTGTTACTACTTCACATAAGGTTGTGAGAGAAAAAGAACCCACCTTGAATCTTGGGAGCCTGAAGTAGCCTAGGCATTGCATTTCTGGCACGCGCATAAAGCTCAGATCTTGAGCCTTGTTCGAATGGTTCGTTCTCTATATACCTCTGCAACAAGACCAAGAACTGCTGAAACTGTTGAGCGGTATGGTTGTAGCAGCAAGTCAGTGTTTCGGGTTGGCATGAGATTAAGTGGCTCAGCTGCGTGTATTGACAGTGAAGTGCCTCCCAAGTGAGGCAGAGTTGAGCAACATAAGCTGTCTCTAGATCTTGATAAGGGTCCATCTCTGTCTGCTGCAAATGCTCTGTATCTTTCTCTGGAACATCCATCTTTTTAAGAGAAAGACATCGAAAAGGCGATGACAGCTTCTTAGATGCAGATCTTGGCGATGGAGTTGAAGGACTTGGAGCCATTCCAATGCCTGAAATGAGTGATAAAGAGTAAATCAACAAATCCATGGAAGAACAATCCGAAATTCGAGCGCAAAGTTATTGACTTTGTAAAGGCATTCCACAATCCAACTGTTAAGAGATCAAAAGCAAGAAGCTTCTTTACCAGTTTCTTTGAGCTGATGAGAGCTTAAGCGATCAAAGAAGAGCATACGCTCGCAATACTTTTCATAGACCGCATCAAAGCCTCCCCACCATTGGAGTCCTTCAGCGACAACATCTCTCCACTCAATCGAACACTTGTCTTCTCCCTCATCTTCGTCTAGATAAGATCCCTCTTCTTCTTCTTCGTCTTCTTCAGGTATCAACACCATGAAACTGTTTCTCCTCAACTCCTTCAGCCTTCTTTTAACCTCATTGGTGATGAAATCGTCGTCGTCATCTTCGACCTCATCTGGTTTCGCCGAATCCGTCACAGTGGCGACAGTGTTCTCACTCCTTGCTTGATCTTGCTGTGTCAATGTCTTGTCTTCTTTCTCCTTTTCTATGTTTGGCTTCCTAGACTTGCGAAATTTTCTAACTTTCAGGAAATCCATTTCCTCAAACACTTGGTGGGAGTGTCTTTTCTTCTGTTAAATCTTTAGATCTAAACTCAGATTTCTTTGCATTAACTAAACAAGGTGGCGCGTTTCTCTGAATTCTTTAACCTTTTCTAAGGAATCAGAGAATCAATCAACCAAAACCACAAAATGCGGAAAATGCATGAATCTGGAAGAATCTCAGAGAATCAAACCCTAGAGAATTAGACAGAGAGAGACGGACAGAAATGAGAATGCATAAGAGACACTTGAAAACCACCTAAATATACACAAGATCAGTAGCACCAACAAGATCCTTTGGCTGAGACTTGAGATTCGATTTATCTTCAGCTCAGAACACTCACATTCTCTGCTAAATCAACACTCCACTGAAACTACACTGAAGAAGGAGTGTGAGAACTAGAAAAAGGTTAAAAATTTCAGTGAGCAAACAAAATTCAAAGATGTGAGAAACGAAAAATCAAAGAGACAAAGACAGGAGACTTAAAGAAAGAGAAATGTTGAACCACTTGCGAGAGAGAGAGAGAGAGAGAGAGAGAGAGAGAGAGAGAGAGCTTTTGTGTCTTTACTCTAATTCAAGTCCCTTTCAATATAGGGGAAGAGGGAGCACAATATAAATGTGAGGGACGGGTATTATTTAATTGGTCTTAAATCAGATCTCATTAAATTCATGATTAAGAAGCTCTTAAAACGTGATTTCAAATTCCCAAAAAACTAAGAAATTTTCTTCTTTTCTAAAACACTTTCCTCAAAATTTTCCATTTCCGGTCAAAAAACTTGAAATCCCCTGAGGATCCTGGGTCAATTGACTTTTTCTCTCATAGGTCCAAATAGTCTTTTACTTTCCTTAGAATTCTAATTTTTAAACTGGTAAAAAACTAAAAATAAGAAACTGAAAAGATTTGTAATTTGAAAGAAAGTCTTTTTGGTCCGTCAAGTGAGAAGAGATCTAAGCAAAGCATGAGGAGAAGTAAGTGGGGGCATTGGGGAGAAAACAGTTCAGAGAATAATGTCAGAAAGGCCGCGCAAACTGTTCTTCTTCCATTTGGTCATTTTCCCCCTCCCTCTTTCTCTCTTGAAATTACGTTATTAGTTATTACCCTTCTCCATTTCTATATCTATGATTTTGCCTTGTTAATTGCTCATAGAAAATATGGGCTTCTCTTGAATTGGGTTTTTCTATTAGTACTAATTTATTTAATAGTACTAATTTATTTATGGGTTAGCATTAAACCGGCACCCGAAAACACAAACAAGAATCCCTAAAAAACCGATTCGGGTTGGGTTCGAGTATAGGCATTTCATCCGATAGGGTAAAATATTTCTAGATCCATCATGGATATCCATGGATACCAAATAATAGTTGAACCCACTTGATATATGATTGGGTTCCAAGAGACCTAAAAATATCAGTATGTATTAGTTTTTTCAGGTATATCAAGTTTTTTTTTTAAGTTTGCTAGAACTTTTTAATTAATTTTGGGATTTCAGGTGTATTCTCAGATTTTCGGCTATATTTTTGAGATTTCAGATATACTAGGCGGTTATCCCGCACTTTATGCGGGTACACTATTTTTTAAAAACATAATTAAGTAAAGATTTTAATAACATAAGTAGTATAATTTTTAATCGTAATTGTATTTATCATTTTTTCACCGAATTCTTATTTTTTGTAATTTTGATGTTTCTTATTTTTGTCTTCTTTTTCTTGTTCTTTTACATAATCTTTTCATTCGCTTTAAGAGATACAAATAATTTCTCCTTCTTGTTTTATTCTCCTTCTTATTCTTCTCCAATTATTCCATCTCTTAATTTTCTTTCAATTTTATATTCGTTCTCATCATCTTTTTCTTTCAATTTTTGTTCTTCAATCTTTTCATGTATCTTCATATTCTTCAACTCAATATTCTTCCTTTTCTTTCTAAATTCCTTTACATTATTTTTTTTCCAGTTTTCTTTCTTCCTCATCTCCCCTCTATATATCTTTATCATCTTTATCTTCTCTGACATCATATTATTCTAGTTTTTATTTATCTCTTCATTTTTCATTGTATTTTTTTTTTCTCCTTACATTCCATTTTTCTTCTTTGATTTCTATTTTTTCATGTTCGAGTTTTATTCTTCTTATAATTTCTCATCTTCTTTTTCACTGTCTTTTTTTCTTTTACTCGTGTTTTTATTCGTTCTTGTCTACGTCTTGTATTTCACTTATCAATTCATTTGATAATTTCGATTGTCAAGGATTTACATGTGAAATAGTTTTTATCTTTATATAGTCGAGATTTTTTTAAAAGATCTTTTGGTTTTGTTATCTTTCGATTCTGGATTTGCTTTAATTGTTTTAGTTTTTTTTTTCTATTTATGAATGTAATATAGAAAAGTATATATAAATTTATAATCAATGATTTTTAACCATGAAATTCTTCCAGAATAATTCAAATTTTTTAAAATGCACCAAAAGTTAAACCCTACCCATCAGTATAAACCCTACACCCTCAACCCAAACCCCACAGTGTAACATCACCCCCTAACGAACCCTACTCCTTAAACCAAATCCCACAGTGTAACCCCCTCCCCCAAACTGTACATCCGAACCCCACATTTTCCAAGTACGTTTTGAATTTTCTTTTATTTTTATCGTTTTCTTAAAAGATTTTTTTTTAATCGGTAATGTAGTGTATTCAATTTTTTTTAAATGCACTAAAAACTAAACCTTACGTACATCCGTATAAACCGTACATCGTAAAACCCAACCCCATTTTATCTTTTTCTTCTTTTACTTTGTCTTTTACTTTTTTTTTTCATACTTTTTCCTTCATTTTCTACTGTTTTTTTTATTCTTATCAAACTTTCTATTCTCTTTTTTATTTTCATCTCTCTTCTTCGTCATCTTTTTATTTCCTGAGTTGAAAATAAGCGAAGATCCGGAGATTCCCGAATAGGTTAACCTTTTGAACTGCTGCTGAATCCATGGGCAGGGAAGAGACAACCTGGCGAACTGAAACATCTTAGTAGCCAGAGGAAAAGAAAGCAAAAGCGATTCCCGTAGTAGCGGCGAGCGAAATGGGAGCAGCCTAAACCGTGAAAACGGGGTTGTTTTTCTCTTTTTATTTATAACTAGAATAATGCCTGCGTTATACGCGGATGAAATGATAAGGAAGTAAAATTAAACTAATAGAGTTTTAGTTAAAAAAAAAGTTTAATTGTTTAATGGAGAACCTTAAATTTACTTGTGTATATTCTGATACGGTTTTGTAAGTAATATGATTCGTCCATGATATAATTCTAAACAACACTTTATAGTTTAAGTTAGAAAATCAACATAGCAACAATTAATATATGAAATCAGAAATTTGTTTATGTATATTTAAATTTGAATAAAATTGTGTTTCACCTATTAAATAATTGCAAATATTTTTTTTTAATTTTTAATGCAATAACAAATAAATCATATACTTTGTCATATAAATTTGTAATATACTGTCTTTAATTTGATATGTAAACTGTAAAATGAAATTAAATATTTTACATGTTTACTGATTTTTAAAGTACAAATAAAAACGAATTTAATTGTAAGATTTATTATAAGAGTTTAATAATTATTTTTGGTAAATTTAGAAAGATATAAATATGTTTGGTTACAGGAATTAGAGTAGTCAAAATAGGTAACAAGAGAAATAATTTTTTTTTTTTTTATAACAGCCTAAGTTCCTAAAACGGTTCGGGGAGCAAGACCGGTGGAACTGAGTTTATATAATACACACCGTAAGGCTGATCTCGAGCACTCTGTGCTAGCTTGTCCACCTTTGTGTTCTTTGTCCTTGGGATGTGGGTTAAGGAGAACGCCTGGAACTTCCTTTTGCACTTCTCAACCTCATCAAGTAGAATCTCAAACGCCAGCCACTCTCTGGGTCTGGACACCATCTTCACCAAATCTGCACAGTCCGTTTGAAAATTCATTCGCCGTTTGTTGTGGACTATCATTGTAATATCCCTCATAGTGACGTAAGCGCGGCCGGAGCGCCCAACGCGCCCAACACGCGAAACCAACCATTTCGCGCCCAAGGAGGTTATTTTGTTCGCGGCCGGCCATAGACGAAATTGGCCGAAAGAAACCTCGGCCAAAAAATATTTGGCCGAGAAACAATCGACTCGACCAAGCAAGGCTCGGCCAACTCGATCGAGGACAAAAAGCTGGCCGAGAGAGTCACTTTTTGACAAGTGTCGCGAGAAGACAAAAAGTGACTTTTTGGATCAACACTTGTTATTTGGGAGTTGGACACTCCAAACTCCTATGACAAATGGAACCTTCCATTTTACAAGTGTAAGAAGAACCAACAAGTGTCATCAAACCATTCCTTACTCCCTAAGTAGAACTCAACAAGTGTCAAGAGAGACCTCTACATGTTGCAAGGTGCTACACGACTATTGGAAGACTTCAACCCACACATGTCTCCTCCGCCACTATAAATACCCCTCCCTCACCATTGTAAACTATTTTCTTCATTTTCTTCCTTAAGTTTAGTAAAAAAGTGAGAGAGTGAAGAATAGTAAGGTGAGGAATTGTAGAAGTAGAACGAGAGCTTAGGAGCGACGGTATAGAGTTTGGAGTGTCAAGCGTCTACACCATCGTTAAATCTGTGAGTCTCGGTAGTATAGTTTAGTTTAGTTGAGTTGTTTTTATGAGAATCGATCTCGGTATGGAACATGCGATCCAAAGGTGTTTCATCCGATTAGATCTCATAAAAGCTTAGTTGTTTTTCTTATAATTTCTAGGTTTGCATGTATAATCGAACTCATGAAACATGCGATCCAAAGGTGTTTCTCATGACTAGACTACATGACAACTAGAAATTTAGGTTGTTACTTGTGGGTAAGAGTCCCAAAGTAACTTTTATTTCTTTATTTTGTTTGGTTTTCTTTTGATTTTTGGTAGGATTTTAATTCAAAGAATTATAAATCTGAGTGCATATGAGACATAGTAAAACTATGGGTTCATATGGGTGGAACATAGCAAGGGCTATAGGTTCCATGGGACATAACGGAGGTTATGATCCATTAATTGAAGAAATATAGCAAGGGCTATAGATCTTTTGCATGAAAGTCCTAGTGACTCATAGAGTAGACAGATCATTTGATTTTTGGCGTAAATCATGATCTTAGGGCATGTCTTGGTACTCCTCATACCCTGCGGTGCGGGAAGGTTCGGATATACTTGGGTAGCTCCCTTGGCCGAACGGTAGTACGACGGTATGAGTTAAGCTTGTGTTCTTATCAGGTGATTTGAGCACAAGTACCGTGAGTTCCGTGATTGTAACGGATAACGGTGGCGAGATTTCCGGTAATAGTCTTCTGTGTGATTTCTAGAACGGATATCGCGTGAGGGGAGTATCAGCATGTATTAGAGGCCTAAAAATGCATATTAGGATGCATTCATAACATGGGATGTTATTGCATGCATATAGGGTCATGTAGAGCATATTGCATTATTGTGTGTTTGTTTGCTTCCGCTTCTCTCATCTCGTTGGTTGACTATGTGTGTTACCAATTAGATGAGTTATGCGTACTTTATTAGTACTTTGTTCTTAGATTAGTGTGGGGAAAACTTGTTGTATAGAGGGTCCTAGACTCACTAAGTAACACTAGGTTACTTATGATGACTATTTGTTTTTCAGGAAACCCTAGATCAACCTGGAAGTATCGTGGAACGTAAGGCACTGGAGTAGATTTCCCTTGGCTTTTGTAAAATTTTAATTTGTAAGATTAATGACTTTAAAACCCCACACCTAGTTTATTTTGATTTATTTGGGCATTAGGCCATGGTTAAAACTCTTTTATTTTGTATTTTAAAAACCTCATCTTTAATAAAATATAAATGGGAATAAAATTATGTTTTATTAAAAGATGGCTTGTTCGGATGATATTTGTTTTGTCCGAACTAACACAACTAATATTCATAATACGGGTTGCAAAGCCTTAGTATATTGAATATTGTGGTAAGGGAGTTGGGCGGGACCGGATATGAGTCAAGGATCCCCTCCGGGACTCAAGTCTGGACTTGTTTAAGTCTCATCTGTAATATTCTCGATTAGATTTATTTATAGATCGAATCGGGGGTGTTACAGAATTGGTGGTATCAGAGCATGGTTCATGATCATGCTCGCGGACAAGCCAGTTTTCAAATGTTTTATCGAGTCAAAAAAAAATATAGAGTCGCAAAAGCCAAGTTAGGGTAATCCAGTGCGTTCCACGATCTAGGATTAATTAATAGGACTTACCTCTTTTCTTTTATTTTTGGTTTAGATGTCAAACCAGGGTGAAAATCGGTCGCGGGGTTCGCAATCGGGTCAGGATGTGTCTCAACCGGGAAATGCAAGCAACACTTCCGACGATACGTACATGCCATCAGAGGAAGAAGGGTCTTGGTATGAGTTCATGCACGGATACATGCCGGAGTCAGCCAGTGACTCGGACAGTACGAACTATTGGCGCTATGGACCTTGGGAAGTGCCAATGCAACCGTACTATTCATCTTCAGAAAGCACCGAGCGCCGAATGATCACGATCATCACAACACAACACCACGACAGTCACCAAATGGAGTCGCAAATGGTCACCCACAACCTAATCAACGGAGGAACAACAAACTATTGGAGCAAACAACTCTCAAGGAAACCAATCACCAGAACAGCCTAGCCCAAATGGACAACCACCACTTGATCCAACCCTCACTATGGTCCACAACTTACTGTCTCAAGTCTTACACCAGGGAGCAAGCAATGGAACGCCTCCTCCCCCGGATTTTCTTAAGTACGTGACTATGATGAAGACTTTGGGAACTTATCGATTTGAAGGAAGCTACATCCGGACGAGGCCGACACATGGATGCAATGTTTGGACAAGAATTTCGCAGCGACAAGATGTCCAACCGAGTTCAAGAAGGATGTAGCAGTCTACTACTTGGAGAAAGAAGCCCTAGGATGGTGGAACAGTGTTGATAGGCAAACCAACCACACTATAATCATATGGGAAGCTTTTCAAAGAGAATTTAGAAGGAAATACTTTCCTTTGGAAGCAAGAGATCGCATGGAGCAAGCCTTTGTTACTCTTACACAAGGAACCAAAAGTGTACGAGAATATGAAGCAGAGTTTATACGCCTCCAGAAGTATGTCAACTATGGATATGGTGACGATGGAGTTATGGTCAGAAATTCTTACAAGGACTTACACCGGAGATTGGCGGAAGACTACAAGCCGTAACCTACACGCACCTCTACGACTTAATTGAAAAGGCGGTCAATGTGGAGAGCTTCATAAAGAGAGAGAAAGCAATGGCGAATCGAAGCAGAGACAACCGAAGCCAAGGATCAGGCTCAAACCCAAGACACGTCTCAACTACAAAGAAGACCTACCCAACCACCCAAGGAGAAAGACCAAGAACGGAGAACATGAGCAGAGGAGATGGAGCTTGTTTCGTTTGTGGAAGCAAGGGTCATTTTGCAAGGACTTGCCCTGAGAAGAGAGAAAATGGAATGGCAGTAACTACTCAATACCAGCCAACATGCTACTATTGTGGAGTCAAGGGACATTTCTCCAACAACTGTCCCGCCAAGACCAATGTAGCGCCAGACCAGCGGATAGACCACCGGCAGCGACCCGATCAGCGAACGAAGCCCCAAACAAGCGCCGAACCCCTGCAGAGCGTGTTTACGCTATGGGCGCTGAGATTGGTGAACACCGAGACCAATCTGGCGGTCCCATTACAGGTTTACATACGTACTAATTCTTTGATTGATTGTTTGATTGTTGATAGTTAGTATGCATCATGGTAGTTACATTTAGGAAATAGTACATAAGTGATCGGAACCTCACTTATGTATTATTTAGATTGCATTAGAGAGCATGCATTCATTCAAGATATTCGAAATTTTGAGTCATGTAGAGAAATGACGAATATTCTTGTTTTTCTTTTGTTAGGAACATTACGTGTTGGTGGCAATCCCACACATGTCTTGTTCGATTCAGGAGCAACACATAGTTTTGTGACTCCTGAGGTAATGGGGAAGTTTGAACTTGATTATGCGGTTGAAAGAGTTAATGTTTCTGTAATAACTCCTGGAAACCAAATTCTCAAAGCTTATTAGATGTGCCGGTGGAAATCTTGGATAAGATTTTCAAGGTTAATCTACTAGTAGTACCCATGGTAGGTTATGAAGTAATTTTAGGAATGGATTGGCTATCCATCCATATGACTTATCTAGATTGTAGGAGAGGAAGAGTTATCTTGGAAGAGGGCCATGGTAACTCAACTATATATCAAGGGATACGTCCAAGCAACGGCGTATCTTTGGTATCGGCGATGAGAGTGAGACAGCACCTGATAGAGGGGAGTGCCTATCTTGTTGCTATAAGTGTGGTTGAAGAGAAGATTTCAAGCGAGGAGAAGATCGAGGAGATACCAGTTGTCAGCGGATTTGAAGACGTATTCAAGTCCTTAACGGAGTTACCACCACCACGGAGTAATCCGTTCACCATCAATCTAATACCCGGAGCAGCGCCAATTGCAAAGACCCCATACCGAATGGCACCGGCAGAACTAGCAGAATTGAAGGCTCAATTAGAAGATCTTCTGGACAAAGGATTTGTACGAGCAAGTGATATACCTCTATTTTACCTACTTTTTATGCTATTTTACTATGGTTTTCTAATGGTTTTCTAGTGGATTCTTGTGTTAAAAGGTAGTTTTTATGGATTTATAGTGCAAAGAGTCATTTTAGGTAAAAAGGTGCATTATGGAGCAAAACAGGAGATTTGGACTCTAAACCAGTTCAATGCCCCTGCATCAACTTTGGATGGAGCTAGAAAAAGATCTACTCAATGGATTTCATCAAGACCAGTTCCCTGCGTGCTCTGATTGAGTTAACTTTCCAACGCAACTGGAATACTTCATTTGGATGAGTAGAAAAGGAGTTATAGCCAAAAGAGTGAAGGCTGCTCCAGACAGCCATATCGAGAATCAGCGTCCGAACGCGCATACCGGCTGGCCGAGGAACGATGTTCCGCGCTCGGCCAAAACCGTATTTGTCCGACTGATGTCTCGGCCAAAGTCCAAACCATCCGGCCGATCACACAGTACGACCCGGGAAACATTATCCCGCGGTCGGCCAAGTTTCAAGCGATCACGCCACACCGCGCACGACCAAGGCGCGCGAGCCGGGAAACAAAGCCTCGCGGCCGCGCAACCCGTTCCGCGTACCACGGCCGATGCATCCGTCCGAGCCGGGGAAGATCGTCCCACGTCCGGCCGAGAAACCTTCGGCCAAATCTCATCCGCTCGACCAAGCCGGCCGACCGTGAAATCATCCGGCCCCGACCGTTCCGACTCGACCAAGACCCGACTGTCCGGCCGACCGTCCCGCACGACCGTCCGAACGCCGCGGTCGACCCGAAGCCGTTTTTGAAGCCCAATCCGCACAATTCAAGCCCAAAGCCGGCGCCGCCCTAGCTAGATTAGGTTTAGCCGCCTCTACATACTTAGAGCATTATAAATACTTCT